ATTCTCGCTAAGATCTCCCTCATGTGGGTCCATTGTCCAGCTGTGGGGATGGGGACCAGAGGAGCCACGTTTCCATCTCCTGCTCTGCTCCATTAGGCTCCATGTTGTTTGTCTTTGAGGATAGCTCCATTCCATGACAGTGGCTCTTGACATCCTGTGTCAGTTCCATCATTGTCCAGTTATGAGAGCAGGGCTGGACATCTTGCAGGGCTAAGAGGTTTCTTTTTGTATGTGAATTGCTTGTTTATATTCTTTGCTCGTACTTCTGTGAAGTTGTTTAAATGCCTTTGGACTTCATCTAACTTTTGCAAACATTTTAAACTTTGGTGTAATGAATCTTTCAGTCTTTCTTTCCCTTTATAATTCATGTTTCTTTTTTTTTCTTTTTTTAATTTAATTTAATTTTATTATGTTATGTTAGTCACCATACAATACATCATTAGTTTTTGATGTAGTGATCAAGATTCATTATTCTGTGTTGCATGATTTTAATTGCATGTGTATCTTGCTTGCCAGACGCTTAACCCTCAATAACAAGGATTAGGTCTTTTCATCTTTATTACCCAAATCTAGCATGGGCTAATGCTCATATGTCAAAAATTGTTCCAGAAATTTTGTCATAAGTTTATCCTAACTATGATTTCAGAAGGACTTTAAGGAAGAAATATGAAATTCATGTTTCCATGTGGTTTAGGAACTCTTTTCCTATTCCCAAATCATAGAAATTATTAGAAGAAAACATAAGATTCAACTTAAAGTTTTCTTTTCACTTTTAGCTATTGGATCCGTGGTGAATTTATTTTTGTATATGATTTGACGTAGGGACATAATTGTATGTCTTTTCCATATGGTGAGCCAGTTTCCCCAGAACCACTTGATTAATCATCTGTCCTTTCCCATGGATGCCACTTCTGTTGTGTTCACATACCCATTCACTAGGGAGTCATTGCTTGACTGGTGACAAGAATGGCTGAGAATAGAACCCTAAAGATAAGAGCATTCAGAAATAGATTGACAAAATATTTGTACCTCTAAAGCTTGGGTTCTAGGGGTATCCTTCAACTCTTTGCTTGAACATCTCCTCTGGGCAGGTCTCCCTCACTGCATCCTCCCCACACAACCACTTCTGCCTACCAATGCAATGGTGGCACAAGGGAGAGAATTAGCAAATCTATTATTCTGTGTTGCATGATTTTAATTGCATGCGTATCTTGCTTGCCAGATGCTTAACCCTCAATCACATGGATTAGGTCTTTTCATCTTTATTCCCCAAATCTAGCATGGGCTAATGCTCATATGTCAAAAATTGTTCCAGAAATTTTATCATAAGTTTATCCTAACTATGATTTCAGAAGGACTTTAAGGTTAATAGGGCATGAAATGAACAAAATTAAACTACATTTTGAATTCCTTTCTTTAATACTCAGTTACAGAGATATTATGACATTCAATTACATATTTGATTTCATTTTTTTAGCACAGCTATAAATCATGAATGTTCAAAAGAAAGTGAATGTTAGTTAGAACAAACATTAGTATACAAAAATGGATGCACAAATATGCTAGTCCTCTATGATACAGGCCATCTTAAAAAAATGTGTTTATGTGTACATACACATGGCAATGGGCTAAGTTTGAAAATGGGATAAAATTTGGTTCCTTTCTGGTCATTAGCACAGAAAATTTAACTGATTTCAGCTACAATGTGTCAAACACACCCACACACCCACATCCTCTCCCCCACACATATACCCAAGTGAGGGAATTTTCCATTAAGTAAATTTGGAAAAATTTAAAATTTTCTGGTCCAGAGCTTTTAAAAACCATCTCAAATAAGCTTCATCAAAATGTCTAATATTGACCTCACTGACAAGCACTCAGTGATAAAGTAGATTATCTTATTTATTGGGTGCTTTTTAATGGTCTCTTTCTCCCACTTAATTCATCACTGTAATTCCAACGTCCTCAAGAGTGCCTAGCAATGAATGCATATGCATATAGAAGCAAGTGCTCGTAGCAAGGTATTATTAAAGATGAGGAAGATATAAATTGATTCAGAATGATAGTTATTTAGTCAACAAGAAATGTATTGAATGCATAGATGCTATAATCAGATAAAGCTAAGATTTCACTACTCTGGCGGCTAGGGATCAAGTGACACTTTTACACTGAAAATGAAATACTAGTTGAAGAGGGATTAAGCCCCTTTGGAATTTGGGCAAGCCAAACCCAAGTCACTGAACTTTTTCAATTACAGATCCAATAAGCAGCTAGACACTGAATAGAATTGTGTCTGAAGACGTTGGTTCAGCCATGACTATGTCATCATAGGATTTGGGCCAAGGAGACACAGTGTCCTCAATCATACAGTGGGTTCAGAAGACCTGTCCTGCCTTTTTACAGAACTGTTGTGAGAATCAAGTACAATTACATATATGTATATATATTGTACAATTGTACAATCAAGTACAGTTATGTGTATGTATATCCTTATTCTTCAGTAATATTTATAAGCAGTATGTCCTTATTACAATCAACACTGAAAACAAGAGTCTCTGTGGCAGGCATGGTGGTGGGCCACTTGGCTCTCCCTTGAAAGAGGAACTTGCTGATGAGTGGGTTATCTGACAGCCTTCCTCTGCAGCAGCTTCTGGATCTCCCCCAGCATCTGAAGGTTGTGTTTTCCCTGGGCGGTCTCTGGGAATGACTTACATGGTGTTGTGTGTACGAAGACCTAGTCATTTCTGCCTCACATGGGACTCTATCCTCTATGAGCAATCTTTGCTCTGGATCGTACCAGCGAGCTGGCCAGGAGTCTCCCAGAGCTGTATCTCAGCTGGATGGTTTTCTTACCCCCATCTCCCTCCTTCTCTCTCTCCTCTCATAGGGGACCACGTCACAGCCCAAAGGCTCTCCCTGCCTAGTCTTATTCCTTCCCTTCACCCCTTATCTTTCTCAGGCATTACCTGTAACAAATGTTTGCACTTCTAACTCCTGTCTTGGGCATCTGAGTTCCAGAAGACCCAGCTAACATGGTCCCTCAAACCCTAATCATCTAAAAAACAACCCCGTCAATATTTTGAATTCTATCTTTCTTTCCAGAGATTTTCATTATGGATAAGCATGGTGGGCTTTTTATTTTAAGATGGTTGATTTCTGCCTCCTTTTCCTCTTCCCATCATATCAGGCATTTATGAATAAAACATTTTGAAAAACATACGCCTCATAAATGCCAGCCACCAGCTGATGCTCATCCGTTTTAACAACGCTAGTGCTTGCGGAGACTCAGACATTTCTTGAGCACACAGTGTTGAATGGTGAGAACAAGTGAATCAGAGGTCCCAGGCATCTCCCAATAGCTTTGTAGAGGGAGGCTCAGATTCTTCCTGAGCTAGAGCTGGGGCCTCTGCGGTCTTTTTCCACACCGGCCTGGGTCTGCCCAAGTCCAGCTGAGAGTGACCAGCAACCATACTGCCTTCAGCTCTGAGCAGTACGCTCCTTAGTAGCCAAGCCGCAGTTTAGACACACTCACCTCTTGGTCCCTATGTTATCTCGTGCAGGTGCACTGGAAGGGAGGCTCAGTGGGGTATCTGGAGCTCTCACTGACAAAGAGCTTCTTCATCAAAGTCTCCTGACCTGACTTAGAGGCATAATTTCCCACTGATCTTGAGAAAGCTGAGCCTGGACGGTTTTCCGGTTGGTAGGTAGCCTCTCAGAGTCCCTCTCAGAGTACTCCTTGGCTGCTATTTTAGATGAGATAATCCTGAGCAAGGTTCCCATTGTCATCTCTTCCCTTCTAATTCTATTTTGATTTTACTTCTGCCTTAAAGCTACTCTTGCGTAAATATTCCATAAATTTCATGTATAGACTTTGGTAACATTTGAAGTCATTTTGTAGATTGATTTCAACCAGAACTCCCTCTCTCTCTCTCTTTTTTAAACTTACTCCACTAAAGAGTTTATTTATTTATATTTTTCAGTGCGGGGAAATCTATTTTCAAATGGTGTCTCTCTCTTTAATTCAGCTTTTCAACCTGATGGTAAAATTCCACAGGGAAATGTACCTGGGAAGGTGTGCTTGGATGGAGCCAGGCAAAATGCGTAAAAATGGGGCTCCTTTCTTACATCGAGTGAGACCAGTAACCTCTTTGAGCCTCTTATTCCTCATTTGTATTGTAAAATAGTAATAAAATAATATCCTCTTAGCTTTAGGAGGGGACGGTATCAGGAGGCGGGCAATGTTCCTTCAAAGTAGCACTAATCTGAGGACACTTCTCTTCCTTTGAAGGGAAGTCCATAATTGGAATTAAAAAAAAATTACTTTCTCTCAGACTTAGGCTTACTCCCTTATTACGAATCTGCTAATTCTGTTTGTCTTAAAGCCACTCCAAACAGAGTCCTGGAGACTGGGCCCATGGCCCTTTCACCCCTGGAGTAAAAGCATTTTGATTTCTGTCTTACGGGTGATATTTGCAAACACTCTCCTTTTCTGCTACGTTCCTTCTCTACAGTTGAGTTTCCAGGATTACAAATAAAATAGAGCTCACATTCACCAACGTCTTCAGCATAAGGAATCTCAGAAACATTGTACCTTCACAGGTCCTACCGCTTCTGAAATAAAGGCAGGACCAGGTCCTATAAAGAGCATAGATTCGGGAGTCTCACATAGATTTGTCCCGTGCTAGCTGCAAACATCTAAGCAAAGCTTCTCCTCACCTTTATTTCTCATCTGGAAGCATGGCGATCACGTTTATGGTTTTCTCTTTAGAAGATATTTTTTAAAAGCCTGCTTTTGTTTTTGCTCCTTATCAATATTTCTTCGGTGGTTTGAACTTTCAAAACCGAGATCGATTTTCCAATTTCCATTATAGAATGTTTTCCTTTTCTCCGAAGTCAGAGAAGTGATCCCTCGAAGCCACAGAAAAATCGTCTTTTGAAATAAATGAAAAGTGGGTAGAGGTCTTGGATCCAGTGAACTGCAGAGAAAACAAAACTCCCGACTACCAAGGTGAGAAGCACCTGCTGAGGGGGAGGGGCTGAGTCAGGTAGCATTGCTCCCTGTGGATTCCGGTTTTGTCTTTCCCATCAATTAGTACGATGGGGAAATACTTGTAGTGTTCAATGATGTCTTCCACTGAATTAAACTTCTGAAACACAGAAAAGAAAGTTAATGAAAATTTTAATATCTTTTTTGTCAATGGGTTAAAGCACAGAAAAAGATGCTTCATTTTCCTTAGGGAAGAAGTTAACTCACTTAACATTGTTTTTTTTTTTTTTTTCCGAATTGGGAAGGTGTGTCAAAAAGTGATTTTAAAAAAAGAAAGTGGAAAAGCCAGCTCTTGAAGAATGAGTGATAAAAATATTAAGTTAACATGGGAGAGTAAGGTGGTTGGGGATGCCAAAAGTGAGCAGGTCAGGGCTCGGCCTTCACTGAGTGAATTGGTGGGAAGGCCTGCAGCGAGCTCCCCTCCCGGAAACCCCTGTGTTCCAGGGAGTCCTGGGGTAATCAGAAGGAACAGAGCCGGCCACAAGGTGCTGGCAGTTCTTAACCAATGTCACTTCCTTCCCTGGGTTTCTTGTGAAATAATGAGGTGACAGCAGATCTTTACTTTTATGTTTCTGGAGATGCACAGATGAAGTGCCGTGGCGATTGAATGGACAGTGAGATTATTTCAAGTTTAGGGAATCAGGACATGCTTTGCTGAAGATGCAGACTCAAAATGGGCTATGCCTTCTGGGTGATTCTAGATAAGGGACAAGGGGGTTTAAGGATTCTAAAAGCATGAACAAAGGCAGGTGTTGAGGACACGAGGGTCCAGATGGTGATTCTGTTGAGCTGAGTTTGGATGTGTCCTCAAAGGAAATCCTGGAGGGTGAGTAGGAAGAGCTCACTCAGCTTGCCTCGCACACTTTAAGACAATGTTGATCCTCCTCGGCCTCAGCCCTGGGAGGTGAGCAGGGCAGGGGGAATGGCCTTCATGGAAGAGCTACGGAAACTGCAGCTCAGAGACATGGCCTGACCTGCTTGGAGGTCACACAGCCAGGGGGCCACAACCAGGAATGCAACCTGGTTTTTCTGGACAGGAGGTTTCTGCTCTTTCCCTTCTACAACGTGCCTACGGCTTATGACCCTGGGTTCCAACAGACTAGGAGAGAGGACACAGCCTGAAGGGAGGGAGCCCTGGCAGGGGAGCCTTTGATGCTCCTCTAGTGTGAATCCTCCCTCTGCCCAGTGCGTCCCAGCACAGACGTAGTTGCAGGCCTTCAGGATCTCCAACAGGGAATGGAATTGTCATGGTGCCTGTCCTCGTGCAGATTACATTCTGGTTGGGACAGACAGAAAATAACTTCCTATACAAAGAGGTAATTTCATTTAGGGATGACGTGCTCTGAAGTTAATTAACTTGGAACTCAAGAACATCACCAGGCTACCCACGGACCTTCCCTCGGGGCTGCATGTGGCTACTGGGAGGGAAATCCTTTTCCTCGGGGGAGCCCTGAGTTGAAAAGCTAGAGACCTGTAACCACCATGGTGGAGGGTCTGAAGACAAAGGGGCCACTGGAGGAGGGTGTGAAGGCGAAGAGGCACTGCACTGGGGAAAAGACTCAGGGAAAGAGTCAGGGAGTGACTAATCTCCTGACATGGACCAGTCCTTGGACCCGCTCCATTCCTGCCCATCCTGAAGACTGAGTCCACAAGCTTCCCCCTTGTTCCCACCCAAGCTCATCTGACATGGGTTCTGTCTTTTCACACTAAAACAGACCTGCTTGAGTCTGTGACTTGGCCCTCTGCACCTGTTACTAGATCTGGTTTCAAGGAGATAACCTGTCTGTCCACCCCTGATAGGTATATGATAAATACTAGTTCCTACCTGATGCTAAGGTATGGTGGTTTCCCTTTTGTGCCATGGGGAAAGCAAGTGCTGTGTTAGAGAAGTCGTACGTGAAGGGCCTTTGGGGACCAAGTGCCTGAACTAGGCTTTCCCACTCAGTAGCTGTGTGACCTTTGGCAGGTTTCTCACACTCTCTGTTTCAGTTTCTCTATCTATGAACACGATGGTAAGTAATATCAGGACCCACCTCTGAGGGCCCTTGTGAGGATTAATTGAATTGACATATATTCAACATTTAGAGGACAGCTTGGTATACAGTGAGTGCTCAATAAATGTCTCATTACCATGACCTCATCCCTTTTGGCTTTGCCAAGAACCAAGAGCAATGAAATCACTGGAGAAGTTTATAGATGATCATTGTACACCTTCAGGAAGGCTTTTTTTTTTTTTTTGTATTTCATTTCCAGTTATAAACTAAGAACAGAGTTTTCTTTCTCTTTTTCCATATTTGACAAAACTAAAAGTGAGTAATGAAAAGAAACTTCTCACGTGGAACTCTTCTGCAAAATTGGCTAACCCACGTGGCACAGAGGAAAGCCTCTTCAGTGATCTTCATCTTCAGAAGGAGAATGCATGATTCCTCTTCTCATTCCTGTTATCTTCAGGATGGTCTTGAAATAATGGGTTCAGTATTAACTGTTTTAATAACTACTGCATGGATGCCATTTTAAAGGAAATTGTAATTTTAATAAGTGGAAGGAAGCAAGTGAGGCAGGAGCGATAAATCATTACTGTCATTTCTGATTATGCCCTTCTAGTGATAGGCCCACAAATGATATATTATTACCCTAAAGACTTTTAAAAAATATTATAATGAAGCTCTTATTTTCATATTAAATGATTTTTCCAGGAGGGCAGCAAATGTCATCCGAATATTAGATCTTAAAATTTCTTTAAACCTTTTGTGTTTGCCCTATATACCAATGGTAGGCAATGATTCACTTGCCAGAAGGGTAAAGAAATCTGTCTGGGTGCATGCATAGGAGTGAAAGAAGAAAAGAGAGAAGTGGGCAGGGGAAGTGAGAAAATATGAGCTCGTGGGTTCATTGTCTCTGCTTACTAGTCTTCAACATTTATCAAGTAAATGTTTATCATAATTTTCAGTCACTTATCATACCATTTGCAGGACAAGGAAAGGTCTGATGATGGAAATTGCTCCTTTCTATGAGCTTTCGGAGAAACGTTGACACACGTGGTTTCTGAACTCGGACGCAGGTTAATGCCTGGCAGCAGGTGAATCTCTGCGGGTTACTAATGGCAGGTGCTTCTCGTGCCAGGGCTGGTGTTCTAGCAGCTGCTAAATATTTCCAGTCTCACCCCCGCTTAGGTGCGGGCATCGATAGGCACAGATGAGCAGGGTAGTCCCTGGACGGCAGGGCCTCTGTGTCCCCAGAATGGAGCATGAAGTCTAGCATAGTGTAGGCATAAAACGAATGCTTGACCAATAACTTGGCCAAAGACATTTCTGATGTTTGAAGCCACCAAGTTTGTGGTGCCTTGTTATAGGCCCCAGGGAATGAAGACATTGGGTCTTTCCTAAATCTGAATTCAGACACGAGTTTCTAGCCACGTGGCTAACAGGATGACCCAAATACCTAAATATGCAGCAAAACGGACCTTCCCAGGCTTATTCTTGGCAGATATGGGTGGGTTTGCTCACCTTCTGTGCCTGGGAAGGTGTTGGCATGCTCGCCTTCCAGGGGCCTCATCCAGGCATCCCCTGCCACCCCCATGTTCTGGGGTAGCTGTCCCTCACTTGTGCCTGGGTGCACAAACCCAATGCAGAGGCTCTCGGGAATCATTTCCAATGGAAACCCATCCTCACTAAGCACCTGTCTCTGTGTGTCTGAGCCTCTATGACTGTATTTACATCACCTCATCTGATAGGTGTCGTTGCTTTGGATGTGTGGTTAAATTCTCAAGTTTGCAGGGCAGCCAAAAAGCCCCACAAAATCAAAATTATCCTTGACAACTCTATCTCATTACCTTTCCCCTGCAGCGTCAAACTACGATGCTATTTCTTTATTCAAGCCCCAGATGAAGTAGCTGGTGCTGGCTTGCACTCAGCAGAGCCTTACTGTAAATTCTCTCTCCCTTTTGTAAAGCGGGGAGCATCTTCCCTAGCCAAGCGGGCACTCGCATGCCTGGTGAGGGGCAGGAGGGAGCTGAGAGCAAGCTACACTGTCCCAGCTGTGCACCAGCACCTGGCTCGTAAGGCAGGAAAATATACAGTTGTAAAGTGTAATTTCTCACCCAGTGCCTGGTGCATAGTAAGCGTCGCGAAAGTGTTAACTGTCTTTCACCCCATGTTCTGGACGGTTTTCAAGCAGGCTGGTGATTGTTCGCATTTGGTCACGATGTTACCCGAGACCATATGAATATTTTTGCAGAATGAAAAATGAAGCCCAGCCTTGCTCTGTACCTGATGTTACTGGGGTCCTGTTACTTAACAGTTACTTAATTTGTGTCTCAGTGTCACTGTTAGTTGGAAATTTGGTGGCACCGAAGCCGCAGGGTTGCTAGGAAGGATGAAATCGATCAAGTTAATTAGTAATCGTTAACTGCGAAGGACCGGTCCTGTGCACAGCAAACGCGCAAGTGTTAAATAGGAAAAAGGAGACTTGCTTGGGGGGATAATGCATGGGAGGAGAAAACTCCGGAATATCCAAAAAGGGTTTTCTTAAAATAGGCGTTTGAATCCTTAAGGGGTCCTTGGTGACGATAATTAGAGCAGCTCACCTGGAAGCTGATGGTCTAATCTTGGCTGTCACAGATGGCAAGTGCTTCCCTCCTGAGGCGGGGAACTGGCTGACAATCTGATTAAACGCTATTGGGATGCCATCCCAGAGTAAGAGTCGCTGTCTCCTCTTTTATGAGAAGACCAAAGTGTGGCATGCAGGGGGGGGAAAGCTGTGACCTCTTTAGGGTTGTGTCCTTGCTGGTAAAAGGGGCTCCATAATGCATCCTTCCCTGAGGTTTTTTGAGGTCCAGGTAAGGGAGCAAATGACACAGCATTTTGCAGAAGCTCCATGTGTCAGGGTGCATGATTTCCACTTGCTGTGTATCCTGAGCATTTAGAAGTCATATACAACTTTTTTAAAGAACATGAGGAGCTGGAAGAAGCTAGAAAGGTTAGAGGGGGACTGAGTTGGAACTGCACCCGTTACTACAGTGACTCGGGAATAAAAATGAAAATATAATAACTCACATTTACCATGGGCTTGCTAAGTCTCAGGCTGGCTTGGAGTACGTTACGTTTGTTACGTCACTAATCCTCATCACAAAAAGGAAAATTGGCTACTTCCCTTTAGCTTTGTTATCATCCTCTCTTGGTATGGCTGCATTTAGCAGATTTATGTATTAATCTATCTATCCACTCATGCTCTCATTTATGGCCAGACTTTCCCAGGCTCTCACAAAGGCCAGTGCCGACCACACCTCTCCAGCCATGAGCGATTCTCTGAAAGGGCTCGGGGTGAGACACTGGGTTTAAGCTGGAGTCTCCACGCGGCAGCTGTTGGGATTCTCACATACGCACCTACCCGATGCGCTGTGGCAGCCCTGGCCATGTTCTTCATTTTAATCTCTACTGAAGAACATTGAGGTCTGGAGATGCTAAATGAGAATTACTGAATTAGAGAAGTCCAGACAAGAAAAGAATATTACATTTGAAGAAACTAAAGCCCAGAGACGTTAAGTGACTGGCCTGAGCTCACACACTTAGTAAATGGTGATGCAGAACTTGACCCCTACCCTTCCCTTCCAACACGCCTTCCTACTTTCCTTTCAAGAAGAGTTGAAGGAGTAGCTTCTCCTCACCCTCTCACTTTCTACTTGTGTGTCTCTAGCCATTTACATAACTTTCTGACCCTCAGTTTCCCTATATCTAAGGTTGAAGCAATTGTTATGTGAAGGCGTAATTGAGGGTTCATGTGAGGTGATGCAGAGAGACCAGGCCTACCATAAGCACATTCAGTGAAAATCAATCTCCTTCCTCCTTTGCCTTTATGCAGTTGTTCATGAATGCCTTAATTGATGGATTCTCTCACCTAGCTGACTGTCAGCAGGTCTGTACTGAGGATGGGCATGCTCAACATGGCACTGAAAGCTGTACTTGAGCTCACATTCAATTTGGAGACACAAACCTAAGGGTTCCTAATGCCAGCAGGTGTGGTGAGGAAAGCCTGCCGTGGGAGTTTGGCGTGGGGGCAGGGAAGGAATGTGGTGTTAACACTAACTGGGGCTTCAGGGGAGACCTCCCGGGAGGCAGAACTTCAATGTTGTCCCGCAGAATGACTTTCCTTTAATGGGCAGAGCCACGTGGAGGGTGCATGGAATGGTCAGGATTGGCTGGGGCTCATGAGCTGAAGCGTGAGGTGGGCAGGGATGCTTGCAGAAGGGGCTGGAAGGGAATTAGTCTCCACCTCTAGGGCGGCGCTCTTTTCTCCTCCCCCAGGAGTCACGGGGATAAGACAGATGACTTGGCCAGCATTCCCCGCCCCCTCACAACATCTCCCCTTGTGGCCTTTGGTCTGGAAAAGGGAAGCTGACAGGTTATACCCACCTCATCTCCCCTTAGTCCTGTCCCCAGGGCAAACTGCTGATTCTTCTCCAGGAAACGGATTTTCACATTGTAGACTTTGTTCCCATAAAACACCACCAGCACGTAGGGTTCTGCCCTGGATTTCGTGGAACAGTCTCGGACCAAGAAAGTGCCGTCCTGAAGCAGAAGGAAGAAAGGTCTTGTCTCAGGCATGCCAGCATCCCAACGCTGCCAGTGTTGGCCGTAGTGACACTCGTGTGTGCCACATTCCCACATGGCTTGCTTTTTGGCAAACCAGTTCTTCGTGCAGTTTAATTCAGTGAGTATTTGAGGGTCAGCATTTGTAAGGGTTCTTGTTACTTTCTAAAGAGTGTACCAGTCAGATCAGGACATCCCCTTCTTCCAAATCTTCCACCATCCCCCACTGGCCTCAATGTCATGCCTACAACCATAGCATGGTGTTCGTGGATAAATGCTCCAGCCTGTCTTGGGGTTTTGTTTCCTGCATCCTGGCTCCAGCCAAGTCTCTATTTCCCACCGTCTTGCTTCTGGGCTCTCAGCTTTCACACAGGCCACCTCATCTGCGGGGAGTAGCCCTCCACCTCCCCTCCTGGGGGTGCTACCTTCACCTGCCCATGTTCGCATATATCCTATTCTGCCTGGTGCTCGGGTGTTATTCTAGAGTCAGTGGGAGCCACTGCAGGCTTTAGCAGGAGAGGCCTTTAGCATAATACATGGAGACTCTGAGTGGGGAGATGTTAATATAGGGCTAGGGTCCCCCCAGAAAACATGGGGCTTCAGTCATTGATAGCAGCATGAGCAGACATGGGGGGGAGGGGCTGACATAGCCTCCGGTGAGGGGAAGGCAGGTGCAGGGGGAGAAAGAGGAGACAGAAGAGGGATTAAGAAGGAAACCCAGAAGCTTCAGTGTGACGGGAGCCAGAAGAGGAGATGGAGAGTTTCAACAATGTGAGATGATTTGAGGGCTGGGAAGAGGCAGACTGCAGGCATCAGGCCCACCCTGGGGAATAGCTCGCTGGAGGTCTGGTCATAAACGGCCAAGAAGTGGAGCGATTTCTCCTGGATTCTCCTAAATAGAAACACACCTGCAAGGATGGTTGTGGGGCTACATTGTCTTTTATATGATGAAAATACTGAAAAATCTGTAACTGTAATTGCATAGATTCTTGTATAGATGGCTGTAAATGATCTATTAGAATAGATCTAATTAGATGTGTGCAGGACTTACTATTTTTTACAGATTGATATTATATATAATAATTTATGTTTATAATTAATTGTTACATATAATTATCTCCATATAGACTGTATTTTATATCTCTATATCTCTATATAACTATTGTGCATAACTAATATTTACAGTTATAGATATAGATAATAATGGTTATAATACAGTAATACTATAAATATATTAAGTTTATAAATAATACTAAGAAACTGTAGTGACATGATAATTCTGGTAGCTAAGGTTTATTGAGACTTGCTCTCAAGATGCTAAGCATTTTGGAGGCGCCTGGGTGGCTCACTTGGTCAAGCGTTTGCCTTTGGCTCAGGTCATGATCTCAGGGTCCTGGGATCGAGCCCCTCATTAGGCTCCCTGCTGAATGGGGAGTCTGCTTCTCCCCCCCACCCCCCCTCCTGCTTGTGCTCTCTGTCTCTCTCTCTCTCACATAAATAAATACAATCTTTAAAAAAAGATGCTAAGCATTTTACACACATTATTTCATGTGATGTTTACATAAAGTTTGAGAAATTATTGTATCCCCATTTTACAGGTAAGGGAAGTAGGGTCTAATTGCTTAAGTGAATCCACTAACGCATCATGGCTAGTTAGTAGATTACCTAAAAGTCAAGCCCAAGTTCTTGCCCTTTAAATATATCAGTCTCTGAGTACATAAAATGGGATTAAGGAATTTTCTGGAACTCGTTCTACCTAAAACATTCAGCCATAATTGATGCCTTAAGATTCAAGCACAGAACATTGCCCGAGATCAGAAAGGGAGAGGACGCCAAGACACGGAACCAGTTTTTGGATTTATCATCTTAACCTCTGCAATGAGTTTGTCATCACGAATCTGGGCGATCCTGCAATTTAAATGAAATTATCTTTCCTTAATTGGAAACATGTTTTGACACAACTGAGACAAACAGAATAGGAAAAGATGAAGTCATGCCACTGAGATGCTGTTTTCTCAGTGCTTTTGTGGGAGGGGACAGAAACAGGCACAGAGAGTGGTGGCAAAAGGAGCCTCAACTGAGTGCCCAAATGTTGCTGGAAGGACATTATGGGGTATATACATTGCTCTAGAATTCTAGCACCATCCCCACAGCGGCTCCGGGAAGCAGGTCTGCTAAGAGCAATTTCTGTGTTGGCAAACGGGCTCAGAGAGTGCAGTGGCTCATTGGGTACTGATTAACCAGGAGTAGGAGGCAAGGTTGGAGCTGGTACCGTGCTCCTCCATCTACAAGGAGAGGTCAGCTCGGGTGGGATTCCCTGGGGAGGGGGCAGGAAGGGTCCTGTTGGCAAGGCATCAGCTAGCCACCTGCGGCTCCCCACTGGAACGTAAAGAACTGTGATGGCTACTAGAGCAGTTGTGGTTTTGTAAAAAGAGCCCTGATCTTGAATATAGGTTCTGCCACTTTTTCCACTTTTCCTCTTTATGACCGAGACCTTGATTTAGCCTCAGGTTCCTCATCTAGAGAATGAGATCGTTGCATTGACTTCTAATGTGCTCAAGATACTTTGTTAGCAACTGTATTAATTTCCTCCTGCTGCTGGAACAAGTCACCATGAACTTCGCAGACTAAAATGCAGATTTATTCTCCTGTGGTTCTGGAGACTGAGTTCTGATATGGGTTTGACTGGGCTAAAATCAAGGAGTCACAGGGCTGGGTTCCTTCCAGAGGCCCTTGGGAAGAATGCATTTCCTTGCCTTTTTTGGCTTCTAGAGGCTGCCAGGGGTCCTTTACTTATGGCCCCCATGTCTGACTGACATTCCTGCCTTCCTCTTATAAGGATTCTTGTGATTACATTGAATCCACTCAGATAATACAAGATACTGTCCCCATCTCAAGATTCTTAATTTAATCACATATGCAAAGCCCTTTTTCCAAGTAAGGTGGTATATTCACAAGGTCTGGGGTTTAGGATGTGGGTTTCCTGTCAGGGGGCATTATCCAATTTACCCTAGAAACTTACATATAATTTGTCTTATTTAATTTTACAGTATCAATTCTGAGAGCTACAGTTTATTAAAATTTATTGGGGCCTATCATTTATCCACCCATTTACTAATTAACTCACTCATCCATTTTTGTATCTCTTCATTCAACAATAACCATTGCACTTGTTAGTTGAGGAGAGGTTTTGATGCTCCAACAGTCTTGAGAACCTATCACTTCAGAGATTTCTCACAGCCTAGTAGAGCTCTCTGCTCATAGTAGAGTGGTTATTTAATAACTATTTGCTATTTGTGATGGTGATTCTAGTAGTCATTTGATCTGATCCCAAGTATTTCACTTCTTTTCTCCTTTTGGTCAGATGGTAGGTTTGTCCTTCCCCACCCCCTCGGGAGTTAGGCCTGGCCATGTGAATCACTTTGGCCAATGAAATGTGAGCAGAGATGAGTGTTACTTTTGAGAGCATGTGGTAAGAGCCAGTGTGTGACTGGAGTGAGCACACATGGAGACGTGGTCTCCACCAGCACCCAAACCTTTCTAGCCCATGGAGCACAAGCAAGAAAGTTTTGCTATGCTAAGCAACTGAGATCTTGGGGTAGTTACTACAGAAACCTATCATACCCTGACTATGACAGCGTTCATGATCCCTGCACCTTTCCTGAAGACAGGAGAGATGAAGACCTGCCCGTACTGTGGGCAGACCTTTAATAATGAGATGACCTTGGAAGAAAGCAGAAGGAAGGCATCTTCCATGGTGACCTCCATTCAGACCTCTGCTTCCACATATGATCTCCAAAATAGTTCCTTAGGGTTGATTTTACTGTTTTCATTTAATCAATAAAGAAGCCTAAACTTAAAGATATTTTTTTTAATTCAATTAACCATCATTAGTTTCAGATGTAGGGTTCAGTAATTCATCAGTTGTGTATAACACCCAGTGCTCATCACAACACATGCCCTCCTTAAAGATATTTTGGAAGAAGAGCAAGTCCCATGACTCATAGTGACACAGCCAAGTCCCCCTTTTAAGGACAACCTCCTGAGCACTGAGAGATACAGGCTGGTGCGTCAAAGCGCACTTCTCTGTTCGTGCTGGGGGACCTATGGGCAGAAAACCATAAGACAGCTGCAGACAGGGTGACATGGGCCCTCTAGAAGGCGTTACCTTGTTCTCCTTCCTTAATGCCTCTTCTACTGCCTTGCGGCTTTGTTCTCCGATGTACCAGTCATTCTGCTGGACATCCTGCGGTGCAGGTAAATGATGAATATTTTAGGATCAAAAAGAAGTACTAACTTTAATCAATTAATTAACTAAAGTATGCTTTTGTTCTACTAGGGTCACACCACAGTTTGATTTATAGCAAATACGCAGTACAAAAATTCCATCCCTGGATCTGGAAATGGACACAGGAAAAGCAACAGCAGCTTAGGGATTATAGGAAACTGGCACAACAGAGTCCGTCTGTCACTGAAAGTAACCAGAAATTTCACTCCCATCTGTTGAGAAAGGCCCTTTGGCACCATGCTCAAAATGGGTAATAAACCTTCTATCTACCAGTGCTTTCTGAATCTGCACCTGCTGAAGCTATGGTGGGAGGTGTATTGTTTGTGAAGCCAGCGTGGCCCTAGTCCTTGCAAAACCAGCAGGGGAGGTGCAGATCGAGAGCATCTTTATAGCTCTTGCGTCAAGTCACATGTGGTGGAACTGGGATTCGAACCCTGGTCTGTCTGGCTTTCTACCTTATACCCTGTTATACCAATTGATTTATTTTGATGATAAAATCCACCATAACAGAAGAAAGGGCAGTCAGGGAGATGTACCATGAATCTGCAATTCCTTTACTGGATTCCAAGGATGATAACATTAAACAGTCCTTTGCATGAGTCCAACTTCTCCAAGGCCATTCTTCATTCATTATCCAGTCCACCCCCATAATAATCCTGTGAGGTTTACACGTCAGGACAGTGCAGGCTCAGGGAGTCAGCATCTGTCATATGACTGGCAAGAGCTAGGTATGGGACAGCAGGTCTTTGTTCTCTCCGTCTGAGTCTCTGGTCTTCCCAGCGCATACCTGATCCTTCTAGCAATGGGTACACCACCAGTCGTATGTGAGTGCCATTGGGAGAGGCATGAGCTAGCTCCAGCCTAAGTCTGCAACCTCGCTGGCTGCAGTCTGAGGACATGGGTCCAGCCAGCCAGATGTGCTTGCTGTTCTCTGGACATGCATAGTTTCAGGGCTTGGCATGAGCTAGCCCTGCTGCCTAGAAACCCCCTCACACCTCACCCTTTCCTCCCTCCTGGCTCTGCTACTCTCTTCCATCCAGTTGGGGATCAAAGTCATTTCTTATTTAACACCCCCCTTGGAATAAATTCCTCTACCTAGTCCCTAACCCCTTGGGAAGGTCCAGAGGCAGGACCAGCTCTGCTCTATTCCTGAAAAGCCACGTAACAGGCTCCAGAAACAAAGGGGCCTTAGAGCCCCATCCCCCTCAGAAGTGGGAGCTTTCAGAGCTCAGAGTGATCTGCTGCTTCTGGAGGGTCTCTCAGATAGTCTAGGGTCTTGGCTGGGCTCAGTCATCGTGCATTTCAGCAATTCTGACTTTATTTACTTGTTCAAACTGGAAGACACTTGGAGATTTTATAGTCCTGTGTTTCTCCAGGTATAGTCATGAGTGCCAGCAGGTGAGTTTAGGTGGTACTCAGATACAGCATTAAATACTGAATTACCTGGGGGAGAAGTAGCTCCCTTTCAGTTCTCTGTCTGGTCCTTTGAATAATTCAAGAGGAATGTTTCATTTTTGTTCTAGTATGTCCTTAATAACTCTGGCATTTCTAATCTCTCCTGCAATCCTTATGCTGAGAGCCATTAGTGAATGGTGGGATCTTGCTACAATTTAATGGCCTTGTTTTGTTTGAGCTTAAGCAACTTAAAAATGTGGTAAAACAGACACAACATAAGATTTACCATTTAAGCCATTTTAAGTGTATAATGCAGTGACGTTGAGTACATTTTCATGGTTTTGCAACCATCACCACTGTCCATCTCCAAAACTTTTGTCATCATCCCAAACTGAAATTATATATATAAAATCCCTGCATGAGCATTTGGATTGTTTCCACGTCTTGGCATTATTGTGAAAAATGCTGCTATGAACATGGGTGGACAAATACCTGTCTGAGTCCCTGCCTTCAATTCTTTGGGGCATATATGCTCAGAAGTGGATTGTTGCAATTAGTTTTAAGGTTATTTCCTATCTATGGCATGCAATACTGGCTTTCTCTTTATAACAGTGGTACAAAGTGAAAAAAAGAGTCAAAGAATATTAATAAGTAAACATTATTATTGATAGTACATGGGTAGGTCACAGATCGTAAGGTGCATTGAAATTGTTGACATTAGGGAACTCCTGATCTAGTGCAAGCCTCTCCCATGCCTGTGAGGGATCCAGGCTCTGGGAGGGGCATGATTTTGGAGAGACACCTGGTTAGAACTCAGGGATTTCTGTGCTCATGAAGAAGATGACAGAGGGAAAGGAATCCAGGTACATAAAAAGGAACAATAACAGAAGTATGTGCAAAAGTTTCCTAAAGTCTAACTTAAGAGTATGTGACCTCTTTTAGAATTAAGGTAGAAATTAATATAAGGACAGCAAAAGACTTTTAGGATACTACAGGGATTATAAGACTGGACCAGAGATATCTTATATGCTCTGCTTCTGCTTAAAACGCTTTACAAGCTCCATAGCAGGACCCCACGCATATGAGGATATGGAATGGAGACCCAGAAGAAGCATATTCCTCTGTGCCTTATAGTGATAGACTTTAATAAGCAATGTTATAAGGTAATGGAGGGAAGGGCATCGAAACTACAAAGAAAGTTTTGACACCCACCCTCCCCCATAGTAAATGTAAGTGCAACATGATCCAAGAAGATCGTAGGGATGGTGAATATTTTAGAAAGAGACCAGGAAATAGATGAAGGACAAACAAGAGTACATCTGTTATCCATTAGCATCTCTCCCTGCTCTATGTCTCCTCTGAGGCAGAGACCATATCCTCTAGCATGTTTTGTGGCATGTAAAAGTGCTCAATAAATAGCTGTTGGACTGTTCAAATGAAAGGAGTATGTGATAGGTGGATCTTTTATTGGCAAAAGAATTGCAATATATAAATCCTTGTTAGTCCTGAAAGATTATTGAACAGCTAGTGAATATAAAACACAGGCCTTGATATATCTATTTTTTTGATTAATTAATGCCACTTGGAGAATATGAGAATATGCAAATTAAAGACTGGTAAAAGACCTATACAAAATATAGCAAACACTATAAAGTGTATTAAAAACTAGTAATGTATAATAACCAGAAGGGGAAAAAATAAAGCCAATCATGATGATCTCCTTCTAAGCATTGTTCAATAAAGCTCTCTGTCGATGCTAAGTTCATCTAGAAAGACACTGAAGAGAAGTATTTGTTTTACCTTTGCATCAGACCTTGTAGGGAAAGGTTCTCTCCAGCTTGTGTTTTTATAGTGAAGCAAATTTTCCTGAGAGCTGAAGCGGGCTGGAGACTGACATCTCTGAGGAGGATGAAACTGCATGCTTTCTTTATGATCTGGGGAAAAGGAAATTCACATATAAATATGATTTTGTTACTGTTTCAGATTACCTCCCTCCAACAAGGAGCTGGAACTCATCACTCCTTCCTATGTCTGGGGCAACCTTCTTGGTCTACACTACTGTCATCTCATTCTGGACAGCAATCTCCTCTGGATTGTTCTCTTGCTTCAGCTTTTGCCCCTTTCTCTCTCTCTAGGGCATCTGGAGTAATCTTAACAAAATGTAATTCTGACTTTGTTATTCCACCTGGTAAAAATCCTTCCATGATTTCCTTTATACCTGAAAGAAAATCCAAATGTTTTACTTCTGTCAGTAAGGCCTGGAATAATCTTACCTATCTATCCATCTATCCATCCATCCCACATCGTCTACTCTGTTCTGGTCATAATGAACTCTGTTCAGTTTCTTAAACAAGCTAAGCTTGTTCTCAACTCAGAACACACTACTTTTTTGACTTGAAAGAATAACTTTTTGTTTTAATGGAATATCACTTTTTTTTAACCTAAAAGAATGACTAACAGATAAATTATGGTTATTCAGACTTGGGCAGTTGGCAGATATTTTATTAAAAATGAACCAAGTAAGCCTGTCACTTTATGGAAAACAACTGGCAGTATTTGTTGCCAGTTATAAAATTAGATTTTTCTAGTGCAAACTAGAATTTGGAAAAACTTGTACCTACCACCATTACATAACAACACACTTTTCTGATGAGACTGGTGGTGTTATTTGCAAATGTAATTACAAAGTATTATAAAATGTGTTAACATTGGAAAGATCTGCTCAGGTCTGTGAATAATATCCCAAGTGACCAATGCGTGAAATTACAAAATCATGCCTGCTTAGAAGATTCTTTAAAAGAATAAGATAGACCAATGGACTTCAAAGTAACAGAATACAAAAAGTTCATTGAAAGGGTTTAGTGTTCACATGGAACCTAAACCTTGAGATACTACCACTTGTCAAGTTTTGACATGGTGTTTTCTCTTTATATTCAATGAAAATAGCATATGTCCACTGCATGTCATTCTCATAAACACTAATAAAGGATGAAATCAAGGCCACAAGGAAGGAGTGAAGTGTTAGGAGAAATACTAAGCAAAGATATTTGTAAATATGTTAGTAATTTTAAGCAAGGATTAACTGTATAAAAATCATAAAGCCTTGAGAGTATGAAAACAATATCAAAGTAGAATACTGGACAGTAATAATATAACATGGAAGAAACGTGATTAGTATAAAGCCAGAATTATAAGCTAGAGAGTCTTAATTCAGTCTAAAAATATAACTAAAATTATAGGCCTAGTTAGTAGCTGAATAAGAACTTTGAAAGAGTGAGATACTTTTGACAGTATACTTTGAAACACAATACTAATAGCAAATATTTACATGCTAGTTACTGTAGCATTTAGGTTTTATGTTTTTATTCTGCTGCTTGTCATAAAAAAGCCGAATTTTTCTCTAAGTTTACTAAGAAGAACAGAGTAACATTTTACATTCTATTTTAATGGTTTCAAGGATTGTGGCTTTTAATGTGGAGCCTAAGAAGGTTTGTTATAGGGAATTACGTGTATGAAAACGTTTGTTGAAAAATGTTTGTTTGCTTGAAGTTTAAATCACATTCATCATAGTAAGTTAATTTCACCCACCAATTTATGACCTTAAAAATAGGAATTATGCTAAAGACATCTCTGATTTTCAAATTTTATAAGTAAAGGAGCTTAATTTTCAAATAGTGCAGAATCCATACCATCAGAATTAGGGCATTCTGAGTTTCTTCTATTGCTTGGGAAGAGGATATGAACCTCAGATTTTTAAAATTCAAGCATGCTTTTATTTAAAATGTTAAAGGTCATGAATGGGTGAATACAATTGGAATGTATAACTTCCAAGGGGGAGAAAGGGGAATTAGGAGATGAACCCGCTGTCAGGAAAAGAAATAGTCCAAAAAAGTAGGGCAAATAGGAGTCACAGAATAATATAAAAACTGATCTAAAATATTAGTAATCACAATAAATGTCAAAAGTTTAAGCTAAGCCTTGAAAAATTAGGTGCAGACTAGTTTAAAAATTCCAGTTATGTGCAAATATAATGACACCTAAATATAATGACAAAGTGATCACTTAGGGAGGATGGAGACTATATACTAGGCAAATCCTAACCAAAAAGCTAAAAGAGCTCTTGTAGTATTTCCAAACATACTTTAAAAACTTTATTTTAAATTATAGTGAAGTGGTACATAGAGACTTATTACTGAAATGGCCATCGCTATCTTTTCAACATGGATCGAAAGTGTAAGAGTGTACTTGAGAAAAGAAAATAACCATTATCAGCATTTTCTATCACTTGGTTTGTGTAGTTTACATAATAGTGTTCAGTGATTATGAATTTTTCATTATATTGTGGCAACTGATTTATTATATTTCCACTCTGAGTGCCTTGCTTGAATATTTAAAAAGTCTGACTTGAAAAAGAGCATTTGGGAACAGCTATATGCATTTGTAGTCTATGCAGAGAATGAGTTAAATAGAACAAAACAACAAACAGAACAACTTTGCTGTGCTGTTTTCCCCTGAAGGCCCTCTGGATCTTTGTTTAATGAGTGAATGAAATTCTGAGCATATAATCCACTATAAATATTTAACTGATTTTGTTCTAGAATAATGGCAGCTGATCTTTGGAAATTATATATATATATTACATATTATAATATATGTTATATATTATAAATACACACATTTATATGTATACAGATACACATATATACATATATAAATATATATATATATATACACACATATATATATATTTTACATGAAACTGCATTTTAGTTTTATAACCCCATGAAATAGGACTCTCCTACTTGGAGAACAGAGGGCCACATTAATGAAGAGATTGACACAGAGTAAGTAGAAGAACATTGTGGGGAGGATACTGTGTAGGTGGTCAATAAAATTTGAGGCAGCGCAGCCTAATAAAAAAGGCATAGGTTGTAGAATCATATTGATATCAATAATTAATAATATTTCAAAATTCTTCTGTATATAAAGCTGTTAGCGTGGTGTTTGACCTGTCCTGATCACTCAAAAAACACCACTGCTTATGTTGTTAATATTATAAGAGAAACACAGTTTTAGACTTTTCTTTTGTAAGTTATATAAAAGCATTTTATTTTAAGCAGGTATCCATACATATTTATTGGTAAATTTTAAGTTACTCTTACATGCAATTTAAAAATTAATTTTATAAGATAAGAGCCATATCTTTTATTTTTTTTTTTAAAGATTTTATTTATTTATTTGAGAGAGAGAGAATGAGAGATAGCACGAGAGGGAAGAGGGTCAGAGGGAGAAGGAGACTCCCTGCCGAGCAGGGAGCCCGATGTGGGACTCGATCCTGGGACTCCAGGATCATGACCTGAGCCAAAAGCAGTCGCTTAACTGAGCCACCCAGGCGCCCAAGAGCCATATCTTTTAAAGAATATTTATAAAATGCTGATAGAAAAAGAAAACATCAGAAAACAAAAATTTAAGACAAAAAGAACATAGATCATCTACAGTCCCAAGCTTAGAGATTAATGTTATAATTTTGGAGTAGAGCCAAACCTTTCTGGACCATCTTCCAATATATCAAAACAATTTATTTTTTGGTCCTGATACCCATTTGCTTAGGCTCTGTGATGTGGTGATGAAACATGTATTTGGTTGTAGTCAGTTAACAGCTGCTCCAAAACCTTTGGAATTGTCATAGGCAATTAAAACATGGTCTTATCAGAACAACAACAACAACAACAACAACAACAACAAAAACCTTTGGAATTTCCTAAGTGATAAGAATGACACAGTTACTTTAATATTTATAACAAGCCCCTTGCAACCACACCTGAGTTTATGTTAATGAGGTGACTTTCTGAAAGTGCCTAGGGATGGTTGACAGGTAAATCAGCCATGTGCCTGGAGGGTTGGAACTTTTAGTCCCACCCCCTTGACCTAGGGAAGAAGAGAGGGGCTGGAGGTTGAATCAGTCACCAGTGACCAGTGATTTCATCAATCGTGCTTATGTAATGAAGCCTCTCCAAAACCCCAAGGATGGGGTTCAGAGAGCTTCTAAGTTGGTGAACCAGAATGCTTCCACATGCCATTATACAGGGCCCCAAACTCCATGAGGGCAGAAGCCCCTTTGTTCAGGACGTTGCCCTATGAATCCTTTCCATCTGGCTGTGGCTGAGTTGTGTTCTTTTACAATCAAATGCTAACCCGGCAAGAAAAATGTTTCTGTGAGTTCTGTGGGCCACTCTGGCAAATTAATTGAATCTAGGGAGGGGTTCATTGGAATCTTGGATCTATAGCTGGTTGATCAGAAGCCCAAGTGACATATGCTTGGCCTCTGGCATGGGCTGGTGGGGCACAATCTTGTGGGATTGAACACTTTACCTGTGGGATCTAATGAACTCATGTAGTGTCAGAATAGAGTTGAACTGTAGGTCACCCAGCTGGTGTCGAGAATTGCCTGGTGATGTGGACCCCTCCCCCACTTTGGAATCGTTGGGTACAGAATTCTCCGACTCCTAATAGCTTAGCTTGAATTCATTAATCAGGGAATTGAGCCAAGTCTGTTTATCAAGTAGTAGCTGAACTATAAAAAATAAGCATTTCCCAAATTCCTTTCTCATTTGTAGAATAAGGATGATAATATCCCCATTGACAGAGGTATAGATTTCACTATTCTGCATGAAGAGTGCTGACTTCTTCTGCTCAGGCATTCGAATTAAAACCGGTAAGCCTTAGAGAGTCTGCTAGACTGAAAACTGAGGGCAGGGATTGTGTGGTTTTCTATGTATCTAGTTTCTGCCATGCCCTGGTGATCCAGAAATGAATTTTCACCTAGTAGAATGAACACCTGCTCAGTAAGCCGATGGCGGAGCGAGGCAGGTGTGAAAGCACTGATTAGCTGAAGGGCGGGGCTGTCTCTGTTCTGTATTCTTAGGGCCCAGCCTGATTCTGTATACAACCCATGTGCTTTGTGGATGTTTGATGACTGAAAGAGGAATGAATCAGTGGTGTTTGAAGGCTCTGGAAACATTTCCCCTGTCCATCCTGGGCTGTTTCCTTCATCAACTGTTTCTCGGACACGAGCGGAGAACAGTCTGCTAGAGCTCAGTACAGATGATATACTCGTGGTCCTGGGGTGCTTGGCTGGACTCACGTCTGTGAAGGCCATCCACTTCACTAACATGGCTGTTCCAATCTTGAATTGCTCTTCATTTTTCACTTGTGTATGGTTTCGTCTTTCAAATTAAGACTTTGGAATTCTCTCTATGCAGATTCTGCTTCCCTGCAGCATATTCTCACAACCCTCACTCAGCTCCTAGACTTTCGCCCCTGGATGCTGGAAGTCTTTTTATCTTCATACACCTAGTCTGGCCTCCAGGACTACTGTTTCTGCCATTTGATTCTTAGGGATTCAGCCCATCCCATTAATCACAGCTCTTTTAACTGCCTTCCTTCAAAGAAGGAAGTCCTCTCTTGGGAAACGCCTTTTTTTTAATTAAAGATTTTATTTATTTGAGAGAGAGAGAATGAGAGAAAGAGAGAGCACAAGAGAGGGGAGGGTCAGAGGGAGAAGCAGACTCCCCACTGAGCGGGGAGCCCGATGTGGGACTTGATCGTCGGGCTCTGAGATCATGACCTGAGCTGAAGGCAGTCGCTTAACCGACTGAGCCACCCAGGCACCCCTCTTGGGAAAGTCTTACTAGCAATGCACACACATCATGGGAACTAAGCTTTCCAAATTGGTTTTTCAGTCTAAGGCATAGATAGTGTAGAGTAGAAGAGGAATAAGGACAAGGTGGAGGGGAGGCAGAAAACACTTAGGTCTAATGGGTCAGTTGGGTTGGGAATCTCTGGAGAAGGAAGGATATTTATTAAAATGTGTCAGTTGCCTGCTGTGTATCACATGACTGTGTGTGTGTGTAACCCTGTGAGTTAATATTATTATTTGGATTTTATGGATGGAGGGAGGGTGAGGATCCAAGAATGAACTTGCTCAAGATGACCCTATTGCAGGGAAGGAGGCAGCACTGGGACTCAGGTCAGTAGAACCCTCAGTCATTCCACTATATCCCATGGGGTCTGCTTCCTCCAGCTCTAAGCCCTCTTGAGGCTCAACAGAAAGAGATTGCAGGATTAGACCTGGACACAGAATCTCCATAGCATATGGAGTGAAGAAAGAAATGCAAAAGTACATGATAGATTTGTTTGAACAAAATAATACTAATCAAAACCCACCACCAATAGTAATATAACGCTATATTTATATGTTGCTTTAGACATCTCTGCAGATAGGTATCCTATATTTATCTTTACAGTCAATTAGTAAGAGGAGTCAATTTGATTTTCTTTGTTTGACATACTTAAAATAAATCTATTTTATATCCAAAGGATTGGCAAAAATTAAAAGTTTGTCAAGAACAACTGTTGGAGATGATGGGGAATGAGTAGGACTCATAAGCTGTTGGTGACACTAACATGTGTGCTTTGGAAGATGCATCTAGTACAATTGAAGAGAGGCATAGCCTCCGACCCAGAAATTTCACTCTTAGAGAAGTTACCGTGTTGTGTACATGGGAGGACTTCTACAATATTGTTCATAACATCATCATGTTCATAAGAAGAAAACTCTGGAAACCACCTAAGTGATCATATTGAATTATGGGTAAAAATTGGGATATTAACAAATGGAATACTATCTATCAATGAAAACAAGCTAATTACACCTACACGTATCAGCTCATGGAGGCTTGCAAAAGCTAAGTCACAGTGCAGGGATGTCATAGTGTGATGGCTTACCTGTTTGTTTTATAATTCTTACATACAGTGCTCTTACCTCTGTTTTGTACACTGTGGTTCCTGTTCATGAATGGCGAGCTAAAGGGAATGTTAGAATTGACAGAATGTTGGTATTTCCCATAGTAGGTAAAATTCCACTCAAAGGCAATGTCAGTCATAATGGACTAAGTCCCATTTACAAAGCACTTTATATTTCACTGGCTGTGCTACAAGAATTTCTGTTTTGTAAGGCAATAGGCGGGTGGTTCTTTCTCTCTTTTCTCAAGGCAGGCAAACAGGTATGGAACAAATTGACCCATACAAGTTCTTTCCATCATATCTCAGTAAGCACATATCATGATTCTTTGCTTTTGGAAACCATGAATTCAGACTTGCCTCGTAACTACAGTCACTATAGATAGGTGGCGGGTTGGGGCTAATATTCTATAGAAATTGTTTACCAGTTGAAGGAGAGTGAGCCATAGCAAGCAAGAGGAGCACAGAAATTATTTTGTTCCTTCCTGAAATGTGAGCTAAGTGAGAAAACTGGATTATTATTAGGAAATCCATAAGAGAGAAAGGATTATAAAAATATAATAAAAAACTCTTAAAACAACAATACTCAAGCGAGGGAAAGGGAGGTAATGGGGGATGGAGATCATGCCCCTGATGTGCAGGCCTGGCATGGCAGTGAGAGCTGACATTTATTGGGCACTGGCAACAGGGCTGGCTCTGCTCTCAGCGTCTACTATAGGATGAGCAATGTTGCCCAAGGATGTGGTTTGCTAGTGATGAGGTGGGCAGTCCGATTCTGGTGAATCTCTCCTGACTACTTCTCTGTTCTACCATAGACAAGGCACATTCCCTGTATTTATTGAATAAATAAAAGATAGCATCTTAACTGTGGGCAGGGCACCAGGGAAAGTCAGCATTCATACATTTTCAGAATCAAGCCATTATTGGCAGCATGGGCTACTGTTTGGGCTTCGAAGTTGGACTTGACTTCAGTAGTAAGGAACTCCACCTCTCTGGGCCTCATTTATTCCCTCTGGGGAGTGGGTCAAAACTATCTCCTAAATTCAGTGTGGCTTTAAGCTGGCGTCTGATGGCTGAAGAGGGGTTTTTCCAAGTAGGGAGAAGGTGGAAAGAGGGAAATATGGGGGGAGGTGCTGCATTATGTGACAACAGGGATTGAGACAGTGAGAAAGTGGCATGAACTGAGGCTGGAGCCACTGGCCAGCCACCGGTCATGGGGACCTTAGAAGCACTAATTTTGGAGGCCCTGGATTTTTTTGTAAGGAAGCCACCACTAATTTATAGTGACCTTGGTCAGTGAATCACTGGTCTGAGCCTTTGCTTCCTCGAATCTTCAGTTGGGACAGCAGTGGTCACAATAACCCCATCAGGCAGGTGTTAAATCAGATAACGGCATTTTCAACCTCCAACCATCTATAAAGTTTTGTTCAAAAGTAGCTGTCAGTTTCTGTGTGGTAACTTACAAGTTACCAACTGAGAATAATTAGAAATAGCCAATTTTCCCCCCAGATTGATTTGCATCCATTCCAGTTAAACCTGTCTAGTTCATATCCAAACCTTCAGATCTCCCAAACTTCTCTAACAAGCAATCACTAGTAAATTACAGGAAGAACAATGCCATTAGCTTCCCTAGCAACTGTGACTCACACATTTCCCTTGGGCCTCATCACTGGGCTTCATTATCAAAGACCAAAGACTTCCCATTTCTCAGGAAGCCTTCGTGCGTCATTATCCAGGACAACACATGGCCTGACCCCCAGGCTGCCGCCCAACAAGGCATTCCTGTCTCCTTACCTGGCAATGGCAAGAGGAATCTCTGGAGTGCTTTGATTTTGTGACAGGTGAATTGATTCAGGCTTCATCTGGTAATGAGGAACTGCATAAAGGAGTCACATAATTTGGTCAGGTTGTAAAAAGAAAATGATTGGGGACCTAATGGAACTTCTGTGATTTCATCTGAGTGATTTCTGAGTAGTAGGAGCAGGCTGTTGGTGGTCAGCAGAAACCGTAACCTACATATTCTACAACTCCCCCTGGCTCCCGTGGGCGGCTTTTCCCTGAGGCTATAAAAACTGTTTTGAATCGTGAATATTCAATAGGATCAAGAATACTGAATCTGGAATTCATCATTGAGCTTCCTGAAATACAGAATATCACATTGGAAGTTATTTGGTATTGGAAGGGCTTGGTGTGGAAGTGAACCGAAGTTGAATTCTGCATTCAAGTGAAAACTTACATAGGAACATAAATAAAACAGTGAAACTTGAGAACTGCTCTGGGCAGGGGGTTGCCCAGTGCTGGCCCACGCTCTCCTGAAGTCTCGCATCTCTTCTGCGACAGGGCTGGAGAGCTCCCAGGATTCTGATGTAGACCAGCTGTGCCTACCTGCTTACCAGCAGGCATATGTTTTCTCAATTTTCCCCCTTTGATCTTTAAGTTTTGAAAAGATCTGCCAACCATATGAACTGGAGTTATTTAGTAATTACGTATGCCATGGATGTGACCACTATTTATTTCCTTTTCATCATGAATAATCTGCCATCCAAATCACCAAGGGATGTAATCATCCTATGATATGAAGTGCCATAAAACACTCTCCCAGTTGCTATCCTTAGTAGTAAAGTTAAGGAAGTGAATCGACATTGACATGTCTTAATTCTGGTTGTTGCTCTGTGCTCTTTCTCTGTCCAAGGTGGGTCACAGACTGGACACCTCTGATTGAAGGGCTGTGATTACTTGCAATGTGAATGGGGTCAATGCCTGGTCCACTAGTCACCCATCCCGTAAAATCATTTGATGTCATCAGCAGCCGCCCAGAGCTTCTGCCCCTCATGCGCTGAGCAACGTGACATCATTGCACTGATAATCCCAGAAGTCCAAGACGACAACATCTGAACATTTTAGTGAGGATGTTGAGTTTCAGTGTGGAAAAGGGCACAGTTTACTTTAGGTTTTAAAGTTATTTAGAATTGCCAACTGACCCCCACTTCTCCATCAGGGACCCTTGAGAATCTACAAACCCTGGTTAGGCCCACTCAAGCCTAACTCCCTCCGTATAAAGAAAAGCAGACTTGAGACCCACAGATGCAATGCAGCGTGGCCAAAACCAAACAGTGAGTTGGTGGCAGCCTCTGAAATCCTAACCAATGTTGCTTTGTGGGACTATGCTGCCCGTGTTAAGTCTCTGGGTCATGGCTCAAATCCTTGGACTTTGACATAACTCATCATCGTAAGTGAATCAGGTGAATGGTATTTCAAAGGTGGCTGTGAACTTGCTGCTGCTTAGCATCTACCAATGATGTGCATACATGCATATGTGTGTGTGCACAATCAAATGAGGGTCTATGTGTGTGTGCATGGGTACCATCAAAGCCAGAGAGACCAAGAGCTTCTCTGGAGCAGTGGGCCAAGCACGTCTTTCTAAAATGGCAGGGGCTGACAGTGTGCCTCCTTCTAGTCGGTTGCCTATGGCAGAAGAAAGACCTCCACCTGAGCCCCGATTTTAATCACCTTTTTTCAACCAGAGGGCTCTTGAGTAGACTAGGTGGTCCTGGGCCCACCTGGATCACATCATCATGCACACACGCAGGTGCTCCTATATGCCAGGCCCTGAAACAATCCTTTTTAAAAAATGACTAATGCTATAAATCTGGAAATGGAACTTAACCTAATAGTGTTGGTGTATGAAAACAAATGTAAACAGCTTACCTCTCTCTGTTCCAAGGACCTGCATTGAATTAACAACAACAAAAAAATAACGTTGAGTGAATCTTGGTGATAGAGAATTTTACGTTAAACCATGTTTTTTTGGAGCAATTGGTTAGTAGAATTTGGACAACATTTTTGTTAGTATAGATTTTTTTAAAACCTACAAATGATTCTCCAAAAGACTAAGCAAAATCAAAATGCTATACTTCCTGTGTGAGGCAACAGGCAAATATACAGTCTGCTGATGGGGCTATAAATTACTTTGACTCTTCTGAAAGCAGTTGAACCATAGCTGTCAAGAACCTTAGGATTGCTCCTATCTTCGTCCCAATAATTCCATTGATGAGACTTTTTTTCCTAAGAAAACACCTGAAATCTGGACCCAGTTCCATGCACAAAGACGTCCAGTACATCATTACTTATGGTGTCAAGCCCTGGAAACAATCTACATGCCCATCTAAGTGAGAACAGTTAAGTAAATTTTGGTGCTATACTGACTTATTGGAATATTATAAATGCATTGCAAGTATTTATGCAGAGTATGAAATAGGAGTATACTACAAGTACGTCTCAATGTTACATGAAAAGTTCTGGCTACAAACTGGACTTATGGTTTTTACATGCAGGTGTGTGTGTGCGTTGGGGGGAGTGTACCAACCTTGGAGCCCAGGTCTCCTGACTCACCTTGGCTCCACAGACAAGAAACCTTTAGCAACAAATAGCTCAGAGAGGCATTGAACCTCTTGTCTGAAGCTAGCCAACAGGCAAGCCCCTTTGTTTTGAAAACCTCCGTGTCAGAGAGTTGGGTTCTGGGAAAGAGGCCATACATTTCATCATGGGCAGCAAATCAGGCAAATCTATAGGCTAAGTAAAAAGGATAATGAATCCATCCTAATGAGTGGTTTGAAAGTCTCCCCACTGAGTCTTGCCCGGGACTTTGGACCTGGCAGTTCTAAGTGCCCAGTCAGAGGCTGTTGTGGAGACAGCCTTGTCGAAGACAATCTCAGACCTTTTCAAGGAGTTGGGGGAACAGAGCTGGAAACAGGGCTAAGAAGCCATCTGTCTGGGAGAGCAGGTGTTTTGTTTAATTGAGATCCAGCCCACTTTGTGCTTAAGGGCTCTGAATTTAAAATGGAGTGCAATTAGAAAAGTGGGGTAAAATCTCTTCAGTTTATCTACTTTACTTTTTTTTGTTGTTAGAAAATAAACATTCACGTTAAATAGTAATGCCTCCCTCTTTCCTTCCTTCCTTCCTCCTTCTCCTCCCTTTTTTTTTCTTTCAAGCTACTTTCGCTCGGAGGTGTCTGTGTTTCCTGAGGCAGAGAGTCAGTGTGGACCTGGGTTTTCAGGGGCTGGCCCTGTCTTCTGCAAGCTGTGGGGACTCTGGAAAATCTTCTACCCCTGAGGATTCTTTTTCTCTTAGGGTTTTGTGAGAATTAAATGAGACAATGAGTCTCTCTTTGACAACTCTAATGTGCTATGTGAAGTTGAGTTGGGGCGGGCAGCACACCACTGCTGCTGGGAATGGGTTCTGGTTCCCAGGATATAATGTGAGTGAGCACTTCACACCCAGGCATGGTATTTGCCCTATGAGATGGGCTTTTGTGGTGGAGAAATGGCCTTGACTCTGGGCCCAGACAAACAATGGGGAAGTGTCTTGGCAAAAGATAAGGAGGAAGAATGTGTTTTTCCAGTAGGCAGTGTTGTTCTTCAGATGATATCTACTTCTAGAATGCCAGGCAAAGTCACAAAGAAAACAAATTGTCCTGCATGACCCCTGCTGTCTGAGGCTGACCTTGCTACTTCCTTCTTGCTCCTTACTGATTGGAAGGCCTATTGTCTTTGCAGGCTGACCCATGAGTTGTGGACTACACATCATCTTGGGTGGCAGCTATCTGCAACCAGGGACACATAAATTTGACCCACAGGAACAAGGGGGTGGAGTCAGAGAGTGCCAAGTAGCAGAGTGCCACACCCACCTTTCTCCTTCCGGGGCGGGGGTGCACTTGGAAAATCCAGCAACTCCCAGAAGAGGGAGAGCCGGGTGAGGTCCTGATTGGAAGCAGGGCTCACTTTCTCATTCAGCAGTTATGTGTTGTCCTCCTTGCCATGATTATCTGATGAATGAGAGGTAGTAAGTGTCTTGCTGAGTGACAAGTGAGAAGTGTGACTTTTGATTTTAGCGTTCTCGTAAAGCCAAATAAGAAAGGACAGACGGACAGACAGAACAAAAGAAAGAAAGAAAATAGATTAACCTCTGCCATCTATATGTAAGAACATGGTCGAAATACTAAGACAAGAACCAAGCCCCTTAGGAAGCCAGTGGGAATGAGGTGAGGCCATTCTGGTTGTTGGAGAGTGACTTTTCATCAGTCACAGCGGACCTATCACTTCTTAGGGAACTTGCTCATTGGGGGTTAGGGAGCTGAGTGTGGAGGGGCTCTAAGGCAGCTCCATGATACCTGACTTGCATGCTGTTTATTGAGCTTCTACTGCTCAGCTGGTCATTATGCACTTGCTTTGACTTACTTTAACTTTTTCACAACAACTTTGCAAAGAAGTATATCTATCTCTATTTTATGGCCAAGAAAACAGAAAGAGGGGTGGGGTTGTGTGTATATTCAAACCCAGGTCTGTGTGGGTCTGTATCTCAAATTTTTTGTACTGAGCCAGCTTGTCTTTCTTATGAAGACCAAATGTCAAGGTATAGTACAATTTCCAATATCCTATTTCTGTAAAGCTGAAGACTGGAAGCCATTGGTAGAGGCTTTATGTCTTCCATGGAAACTGGATGCTCTTCATTGGACCGGTGAACTCCTGAGTATATTCAGGTGGCAAAATAAAAACTTGGTCTAAGATCTGGATCTTGACATGTTTTGCTTTAGTTTTCTCATCTTTCAAGTAGAGATAATAATACATTTGAGCATAGCTATTATGAAAATTAAGTGTGATAAAGTCTCTGAATCAAATAGTGTCTTGCCCATCACAGATGCTAATGTACAGAAATCCCTTCTTTGTTTCCTAGGACAAAATTTCCACTTACCTCACTTAAGTCCTTTAAGCTTATCTGCCTGTAAGGAAAATAAATACGGTGTTACATAAAATACAGTTCATAATCAAGATAAAATCACTCTGAGCACTTAAAAACCTTTGACTGCATTTTCATTGCCAAATTAACAGCCATGGTCCAGTGTGATATCCATCACTGTACTATAAAGCAAAAGCCAGGTTATTTTTCTCATAATTTTCTAAGCAACAGAAGAAGTTACGAGGCAATATGAAAGGTGGTGACAGAAAGAGGACATGAATAAACTAGCTTCTCATTTTTGGAGAATTTTAATAACGTCTTCATTTCTCCTGACATTTGGTTTTCCGTGTTGGCTTTCATTAGCACAGTCAGACCTGCTATTATTAGCTTGATTGCAAAGTTCTTCGTGTTTTGCTTTGAGGAAGCATAAAGAGTCTTACGGGTGAAGTTGTAGGGTACAGCGGGATCCCAGGAAGCCGATGCTTCCATGAAGGGAGACTGAGACAGACCATGAAATGAATGATGGGGTAAGAACTCAATGCACAGTGTGCTGACGTGCGCCCTGGGCAGGTCTCAGAAGAGCCAGCAAGCCTTTCGTGGATACTGTCAATTCAATCACTTTGCCCCTCTGAGCCTCGTCTTTCTCATCTGCGAAACGGCCACAAGAGCGTTCATCTTGGGGGTTACTGTGAGGATTGCAAGCGATAAGGATGACAATGTGGGGCACTCAGTGGGCACTGCTGTTGGGATGTGGTCAAAGTCAGATGAGGAGTGATGAAGGTGTGGGGGTGACAGGCACATTCTGTCTGCCTGGGTCTGCTGGAGAGGGACTGGTCCTGAGGGAATGTGGGGAGGTTGAGACAGCAACACCAGCCGCAGAAGACGACTGTTGATCTAGGGTGATGGAGATGAGCCCAGGAGCACACAGCGCTCAGATGCTGCATCCTGCTCTCAGACCACCAAGTAGCAGGCAAATTGACTGAGGGCCATATTTTGTAACCAGCTCATCAGCCCATCAGAGATGGTACATCTGCCCCCTGCCTCCCACTTTTAATGGGGCAAGTGGGAAGATAAAGAGATATGATCAGAAGTAATAAAGTTGAACAGACACCCATAGTATTAATTATTTGGGTTAAATTGAGGCTAATTTCTGTTTTTAATGTTTAAGAGACTCTGGCATTTTAGGATTACTGACCGATTGGCCATGTGGCCTCAATTTAAAATGTGCAATTGATCGTGACTTTAAGTTATAAGAGTCAAGCTATGTTTGCCTCCATTTATAAAGATTTCAAACTGTTTGAGAGAACTTGAATTTTTCTAGATTTATATATTTACCTTATTAGATTTATAAAAATTTATGAAGTTTTGCTCGTTAGGGTTTAAAGTTAGATGTATACAGGTATTTCAAATGTTTAAGGAGGTTTAACTGAGTTTGTAAATAAGTCTTATTGTCTAAGATTCCTTAACCTACCTAGTGTGACAGAGTGTCCTTCTTTTTAGATAGAATTGCTTGATTTGTAAATAAGTAATATACTTGATCGATGGAAATGTGAGGTTTTCGAAAAGTTAGGCTTTGGAAGTGGTAACATTAAAAAATGGATTTTTAAGTAAGACCCCAGTAATTGTAGGAGTGTTTTCTGTGCATGGCAATGTCTCTGGGCCTGGAAATGCCTATGTTGACAAGACTCCCCAGGTTAGTTGCTCCCTTTATCTATAAAATGAAGGCATCGGGCTTTGGGGTGGTTGGGGGTGCTTGGGGGGAGACCTGCATAGTCACAAAATGGCAGAACGGGGTGGGGACCTGCCTGCCCCCCCCGCCCCCCAGAACCACACCACCTCCCTGAAAGCGTCTTTCATCTCGTGTAAGTTGTCCCATGTTCTGTTTCAGAGATGGCCAATAAACCGTGGTCACTGCCCACATGGCATGAATAAGCTTCCTGACATCCTTTCCTGTGCAAAATAGGTGCTCAGTGTGTATCTGAGGATAATCCATTTTACTTGTAAAAATAGCCCTTCTTGAACCTCCCTGGGATTTCGCTTAGTTTTAAATAAACCGGGTTTGAATCCTTGCTCTGTCATCTGTGAGCTCCCTCATCCTCTGGAAGTGAAGTCCCTTCTCTGAAGCTTGGTTTTCCCACCTGTAAAATGGGTAAGCCCACACAGAAATGAAGAGGGTTGATTAAGGTGCTCATGAAATAATATACATGAAAGCTATTTGGAAGAAAATAACACCTTCCATCTGCAGAACGCCTTTCACAGTGACCCTTTCTTTTAAATGGAACTTTTGTTCCGAGATAATTGTAGGTCTCCTGCTCATGTAAGAAGGTATACAGAGAGATCCTGTATGCACCTCACCCAGTTTCCCCCAATGGCAACATCCTGCAAAACTATAATAATTAAATCCACTCTAAAATCAGTATTTCCCGTAAGTTCCCGTTCCCATGCAAATTTGTTTATCTTCTTGGTAATCCATGCTTCCTCTCTTCAAGGACTCTGGTTTCTCAATATCTCCACCGATTTTTTTTGTTTTCACTTTCCAAATCATCAGGATGTACATTTTTGTCCCTGAGATTGCTTGAACTGACATGGTGCTGGCTTTGCTGGTTGCAAAGGGAAAACCATAGTTTTATTGGTTAAATAGCAGGTACCTTCTGTAAATTAGATTTTGGCTTAACCCTGCAGCATGGGGTTGGAGTTTGCTGAAGCTACAGGGAGACGTCGTGGCTCGTGACCTCTCTGCATTTCGGTGTCCCTCTCAGTAAACTGGAGATTGTGATCTTGCTCTCCGCACAATGTGGTTGTGGGACTACATGAGGTAGAGCATCCGAAAGACCCCAGAGTGGACCCATTGTATTTAATCAGAGCTCAGCAAATGTTGTTTCCTCTGATGATTACTCAGGATGCTTTTATTTGGTGCACATGCCATGGCATTAAAAATACAAGGGAGTTATTCCCTTTTTAATCTCTTTCTAATTATGTCAAAGAGAGAGTCTCCATGTGGTGATGACTTTATCCAAATATTGCTCTTGCATTTTAATTGCCTTCCCTTTTAAAAGAGAGGAAATGCCACTGGCTCAAAGTTTGGGTCTGAAACTGTCTGTGTTGTAGTTACGCTAATGATGTTCCCCTTTTAAGTACATTTCCTTACTTTAAAAAATGAGCTGAGCCAAAAATATTAAGTACATGGATATGATAAAAATCATAACAACGGTACATCAATGGTTGAGAATGCCCAGTGAACATTCCCCTGACTTCAAAGTTCTCTTCTAGCTTTCAGTTGTTGGTGAAGGATTTAAGTGGCATGTTCATGAACTGAAGTGCTTCGATTCAGCAATGGTTTTGTGAAGCCAAGACCTAGCTTTCAAAGAGAGACTGGCTGAGCAGGTGGAGACAAATGGGTGCAGCAATGGGCAGAGCCACATTCACCATCGGGAGAACAGAGACCGCTGTAAAGGGCTGCAGCTGTCGGCTGCCTTCAGTGGCCCCCGTGGATTACCCCATGTGAATCACAGCCTCCCTTGACGGAGTGCCGTCCATCTCCAAGTGCCCACAGAGCAGCTGGTAGGAGGGGAGCGGGCACTAGTCTTCCTGCATGAACTGAAGCAGCTCAGCTCTCCAAAGTCCCTTCTGTTTTCAGAGAAAGTGAACCTAGCCACAGCCTCCTGTGGTTGTGGACAGGCCACGTGTGGGTCATTAGTAATGGCCATCTGACTACCAATATGGCGCCCAACTCAAAATGAATTTGGAAGCTCTCCTCCTCCTTCCTGGTGTCTCACACAGGCTCTGCGTGTTTTTGACCCTTCAACAGTCCTACGCCAGCCCTATAACTTTGACCAAGTCACCTAACCTCTGTGAATCTTAGTGACCCTATGTGCCCAATGGGTAGGGAAGTGATTTTTACCAGGCACCTACTACGAACCAGCCACTGAGCCTTTGAAAACCATACTTTAGAGGGCTGCTGGAAGCATACAGTAAGATGGGATGTCATGACACTCTGGAGGGGTTGATGGTGAAGAGACCTAGCCAGGTTCTCGTCACTTCTAAAAGCGATTAAACAAATTTAACTATGGCTGCAGAAACCCAAAAGGATGCAAAATGCAAACTTGTAAGGATTCCAACACCATGGTGTTGGCTGCACTATAGGTTGGAGTGATCCAGACTGCAGAGGAACTCATTTGCAGATCAAGGCAGTATTATTTTAGACACTGGAAGCTGGAGCATATGTAGGAACGGCCTAAAGACCATCAAAGCTTTACTGACAGATTCTTGGAAACTGGATCCCTCTGGGTCCTTAGCTCTGCCTGCATGTCAGATTCACCCAGCAGAGCTTTAAAAAAACAGTGATGGGTTCTTCTTACCTCTCAGAGTGATTAAAGCACATACTGGGGAACAGTACTTTTAAAAAAGCTTTCCTAATTATTTTAAGGTAAAGCCAGAATGAGAAACATTGCACTAGAATATATAGCCTGTATTTCAAGAGAAAAATAGGGTTATGGGTGCCTAATTCTGTTGGGAACAGATGGGAGATGATGTTCAGGTGTTTTTCTTTCTTTCTTTGCCGTGACAGATATTCTCCTAGGCGCTCTAGAGAAATCCTTACCACTCTGTCACATGGGGACAGTTCTGCTGTCTTCACAAACACGGAAACTCAGAACCGTTTGAGAGCTTTATGAGATGAGGTAGCCAGAAGTGACTCAGCGGGGATCCAAACCCAGTTCTGCTGGGTCCCAATACCTGTGCTTTCCAGGATGAAGAAACAGAAGGAAGAGAAGATCCTCTCTTTTTCTCCACACTGAACAACCTCATCAGCGCTGATATTTTATTCATCCTATGTTCGACCTCCTTACTTCTCTGAGTTTTGACCAGTTCTGAACATATTAGACTATTTGGTCAGTAGCATCAGGGATGATACATTTTACGTTTCCAATTCTGATGACATCACTTTATGGGTTTCATGGTCAGTTATTGGCTGTTGTCGCCTCCCTGTTTCTCTCACTTTGAAACTAGAAATCAAAACAGAGCAAACTTGGTGACTCCCAGTCTGGCTAGGAAACAGCAGAAGGAAATACAGATTTATCGAAGATGTACTATGTGCCAGGCAGACACTGCGCTAGGAACTACGCACACTGAAATGAGTCAGTCCCCCCTTTTGGGGTGGAACAGACAGAACTGTATACAAATAATTATACAGGGTGAGGGATAGGCAAGGGTGCCAACAGGAAACGGCTCAAGGTCACAACTATGTGCTGGGCAGGAAGTGTGGAGCGCTTGGCATGATTCATCTTGTATAATTCTCACATTAGCCCATGAGGTAGGTGGTAGGTATTACTGTTATCCTCACTTTACCGACAAGAAGGACGAGGGCTGGGTGAAGTTTAGTCATTTGCTCTAAAGCACTTTCTCAAGCTCTGCACTATTGACCTTTGAGGGCTCATTATTCTTTGTCATAGGGCGGTCCTGTACACTGCAGGGTGTTTAGCGGCATCCCTGGCCTCCACCCACCAGATGCCAGGAGAATTCCCACCACCCGACTCGTCACAACAGAATGTGTCTCTGGACACTGCTAATTTCTCCGAGGGCAAAGACACCTCCAACCCAATCTGCCAGTTCATAAGAAGGAACACCTAAATTTCAACTGGGGCAGTTGGAATCGACACCTGAGAGCTTGCATCCCTCCCCACACTGCAAAGGCCAGTGGAGAAGCCGGCAGACCAGGGGAAATGGCACGGGGGAGACGAGGAGGGTTCTGCCTGGAGGAGGTATGTTTGCGTGGGGCTGCCAAGGGTGAAGAGATGAAGAGACATTCACCAGAAAAATAAGGGGGAAATGGCCTTTTAGGCTCTTCAGCATTCCCCAGCAGAACCAGTGATGACTGGGTTTTCCATAGAAGCTCAAAATGTGCCTGATATTTTTAATTTATCTATGAAAAATGCTGACTAACTAATGCCTTGTGCTCCAGCCTGCTGATTCAAGCTTTCCATAAGAAAGCATCATTCATTTCAAGCAGGAACAAGAGAGAAATGTTAATCTCTGTTCTGACTTCTAAAATGACGAAATTCTGGAAATTCAAACTCTCTTGGGGGAAAAAAAGCACCTATTCGCATTTGTTACATTTTGTGATTGTTGTTGGCTGCCAGCTGACCCACACATTTGGGAATGGGACTTTGTCATCAGCTAATGACAGAGAGTTGGCAAAAATGGCAATAACGTTTTTGACAAATGGGTTTTCACGCATGGTTGTATTCCCACAGCTGGGGTGGTGAGAAGCTGGGGGGCAGTATTGGTCCACAAGTAACCTGAACCTCCTTTCAGTTTTTACATAAAAAGTCCTGATTTCTTTCTGGCACTTAACATTTCCTTCTGTAACAATTCAGGTCTCAAGTGAGGCTTTGTTTCAATTTTATTACAAACAAGGTGTATTTTCTTCCTTTGTTTTTTTTTTAAACGGTTTTATTTATTTGTCAGAGAGAGAGATAACAAACAGGGGGAGCGGCACGCAGGGGGAGAGAGAGAAGCAGGCTTCCCACAGAGCAGGGAGCCCGATGCAGGACTCTATCCCAGGACCCTGGGATCATGACCTGAGCTGAAGGCAGACGCTTAACCGACTGAGCCTCCCAGGTGCCCCAAGAAGGTATATTTTCTGTTAAAGAATCAAAGTGCAGTTTTCTAAGAGTATTTTCCCTCCAGGCATCACTGGCTCTTCCCAGCACAGTAGGGAGGCTGTTTCCCGAGATCGCTGGTTGTCCTCCTCACCCTCCTGAGCCCACCAACCTCCCTGGGCATTTCACCAGCAACAACACCAAACCTGTCACCTGGGACCTTTCTGGATGTCAGGAAAGCTGATCCTCTGAGGGAGGGGTGACCGGCGGCTCTCCGGCCGGGGGGGCAAGGGCTGGTACTTCTTTGGAAGAGTGACAGGTGGCCTGTGGGAAGAGTCACAGTGAGAGTCTGAGAAGGTTAGCTGTGCAGGTGCCTCCTCAACCAGCCCTGGCCTCCATGTCCCCAGCTTTGGGTGGGAAGTCCATTTTGGGGTGCTGGCTCCTTGACAGGGCAGTCTGATCCATTTCATGTAGCTGCGATTATCCGAATACCGTAGTCATTCTCTTACTGAGCCTAAAGCTCCCTCCCTGCAATGTGCCCTTTGGTCTTGTTCTGTTTTCCAAAGGGCGGGATGTCATTTTCTGCAGGGCATCATAGATTTCTCAATATGCCACCTATCTGAGATTGAGGAAGACTGGAAGATGTGAGCTCTTTAAATGCCCCCAAAGAATTAGGAACACGTTTAAGAGTCAGTGAATATCTCACTCACCCATTTATTCTCACATTCACTCATTTATAAAGCATATCAGGCACTATTGATGGAGGCTGGAGATGCAAGACACAGTCCATGCTCAAGACACTTCCCTCCAGAGTGGCAGAGAGAGAAGCCATGAGAGGTTACCAGCAAGGGTGGTTCGCGCTGTGATGGAGGTCCTCTTGGGGCTCCGAGTAGGACAGCAGAGTGCCTGACTCACCCAGAGCCTGAGAAGTCAAGGCTGTGACTCTCACCTTCATGTGTATGTATAATAGAATAATAGTAGTATTTCTATATATACCAGAAAGAAAAATCTATGTGCATATATAAATATAGGCCTATACGTTGTAAGTTCCTGAAGGCATTTTCTAGGGCCGGTACTCTCTGGGGGGTTTCTGTACTAAACGGAGGGAAGAAACGGGGAAAGGGTGCACATTTCGGACTGATGAGTGAAGGTACATGGAGTGGCTGACTTGTTCGACCTTGTTCACTGGCAAGCTCATCTTAGTTTCTCAACTATCAACGGTTCGTATTTTTCTTTTTTAAATTCTGGAGCTTTTCAAATTCTGGAACTAATCATTTAAGTGCATAGCAAAATACAATTTCTATTTTAGGTGTCTTACCGAGGAGGTGGTAAAGGAGTCTGCAGAAGGAAAGAGAATCAGAAATTAAATTTATTGTTCTCTGAGCAGAAGTAATGCTTAACAATTTTGGGGTTTACAAATAGAAATGACAAATCCCAACCAAACGTCTGGGTTATATTTTTCAAGTGATATCTAAGCCTTTACATTGTCCACATCCCCATGCTTCTAAAATAAAGAGTGGGTAACAAACACATTTTAATGATTTCTCTTACCTTGTTTCCCTTTGTGGGTCTGTCTCCTGAAACATAAGAGGGAGAGCAGTGAGTTTATGGAAAATGTCATCAAGCTAGTTTTACATATGTTTGAATGGAAATCATTCCCATTTGAATAATCTTGATGATAATGTCAGTTAAGGTTTGTTGAGATCTTACTAGGTACCCAGGACCTAATTATACTAGTTATGTGATCTCATTCCATCCTGGCCTTTGTTCTGGAAGTGAAGAGCGAGGTATGGGAAAGTTACTCTCCAGTCACCCCGTTAATGGTAGAACGAAGGCTTCATTGCATGCGGTACGACTCCCAAGGTCCCCCTCTTAACCACTAATTCTTGATTAGAATTAACATTCTTATATATCTCTATAGTTATCTCATTATTTCAAATTCCTGCCAAACACCTTCACTGGATATTTCTGAGCAGAGGAAAATAGCATCACAGTATTTTCCAGATGGGAGGGTTTTCTAAGACTCCCAAATCCAACTTGTATTTTAGACCAAGGTCAGGACAAACTAGGTAGGACAATTGCTCAAGACCACCCAACCCGAGAAAAGCCTGAATGAAGGTCAGGAAGGCTTTTCCTGACTCTCAGGTAGTTTTATTTCCACAACTGGATTCAACTCAAAGACAGTTATTGGGCTACTACTGTGAGCTAAGAGTAGCACAGAACCAGGCGCCAGAATAGAAAGACAACAGGCCTTCCCCTCAAGGTGCTTATGGTTGTTCGGTTTCCAGGCAAAGGTCTGGGTTCTGGGGATGCAGTGAGAAGGGTGAGACACTGTTCCTGTCGCCAGAGGGTTTATACCTAGGAGCACAGATGTGCATTGAAAACACTATTAAATCTCTGAGAATTTGAGAGAGAAGGTCATGGTATTAAAGGGACACACGGGACATTTAAGTTAGTCCGGGGTGTCAGAAAAAGCCTCCTTGAGAAAGCAACGTTCACTGATCTGTAAGAGTGGATGTGGTGTTGTAAATGGTGTTTTATATGGCTGTGGGAGGAGCTAATGGGAAAACGTGGCTCCTGTCAGAGGTGGCTTCACCCTGGGCTGATTACTGGTCTCCACGTGCTTTGTTTCCTTGTGTGTGAAGCAACGAGTCCGGATGGGCTCAGTGGTTTTTAACCGAGCTCTGAAGGGCACCCTGGGCTCCCCTGGAGACTCGTAAGGAGCAGGAGGGTTAGGGGACTGGTTTCTGGCTCATTGTTGCATGTCACAGGAGGCTTCATTCCATCTGCTTCCAGATTTCTTTTGGGGAGAAGTCCAGCTGGCCCAGAAAAACACAACACTACAAACACTTGTCTGGATGATTTCAAGGGCTGTTCCGGGTCTAAGATAATTACTTGAGTGAGCAAAATTACCATTCTCCGTATTTTGTTTTTGGAAAACACTTTTTAAATGGATAGACTAGATTTCTCAGCATACATTCAAACACTAATGGCAAACAGGAATCGTAGATATTCTTGGCATTGTAAAAACCAAATAGGATCCGGGATGGATTTCAACAACAGTAGCAATCTAGTTAACGAGAGATCGTTGGCTATTTCAACGGTATTTCCAAAGAGTCCTAGACCACATGATGTCCTCTTAAGGCACCAGGTCAGAAAACATAAGATTAAGTTCGTCTCACTTTGTTGTGCTTTGGCTTGACCCACAGAGCTCCCCAGTGGACTGTCTTGCTGTTCATATTGATGCCTTTCCCTGTGAAGCTAGATGCTGGCTTTCTAAGAGGCCTTTCTTTATAGCTACCACTATATCTATGGGGGATCAATTCAATTTACTGGAAAAAAAATTCAATAAAGAGACTGAGTATCTGGGATTCAGTAGGCACATTCCATTTATCGTTTCAGAGATATCTATCCCGATGGCTTCAGTGACTGAGCTCAGAAAAGGACATCTCTCTTCCTTTTATTCATTGGCTTATTATTGCGCATGTAGGGTACGTCAGACATGGGTTCATTTGTAATATATTTATTGATGCAGGTGTTGGGGAATATAATACCCAAACAAAAGTTGCTATTCCCATGTAACTTGTATTTCAGTGGCAGGACGTAGAAAACAAATAAAAGTATACAATGACAATGACAGGTGAGGACACGTGCTCCCAAGAAAAATGCAACAGAGTGCGGGAGAAAGCAGGGCCATGGAGAGAGCAGGAGCATGAAGAGTTTTCCATCTGTCACACAAGAGAGATGGGGAACGGGGTGACCATTTTTAGGCAGAAAGCCTCTCTGATTAGTTAATGAGAACAGAGACCCAAGGAAAGTGAGGGAATCATGTGACTGTGTGGGCAGGAGTTTTGTGACAGAGGGAAGAGCAAGTGCAAAGGCCCTGAGGTGAGATGAATAAGAGGGAGGTACCATTTGAATAGTGGTTGCTGAGGTAGGGACATGCCCAGATCACCTGCTGTCTTGTAGGCTGTGGGAAGAGCTTTGTCTTAAACGCGTTGCGTCTTTTGATACACTGTTCATGTGTCCCGTGTCTTCATTATAATATGACATTTTCTCTGGCATCACTTAGACTTAGTTCCCCACCCCCGACAATTAAAAAAATTTTGTATATGATATCATTAGCAACAGCTGTGGAGATTTTGGCTATATCAGGTATGTCTGTTAGTAATCATTTATGCTGTCAAGCTTCACTTGTTTGTTGCTTAGATAATTGAAATCCTACAGACTAGTGGGTAAGAGTGAATTTCAAGAATCCTACAAGTGAGAAAACTGGATCAAATAGGCAAAGTACCATGCCATGCTGTGATAATTCATAAAATCCAACCAGCTTTGCTTTGGGGGGGGAGTGTTTAATAAAGTAATAATAGCTCAGGTATTTGGGATAATGGAAGAAGATGAGATACGGAGTGGATTTTCTGGAGTTTGAATCTTGATTCTGCTACTTACTATAGGCAGGATCATAGCAGGTCCTCAATAAATATTTATGAAATAAGCAAATGGATTGAAGGACAGCTGAGTTTTCTCATCTGGAAAAGCGAGAAATGGCTATTCACACTTCACTGGAATTCATGCATGGGATACACAGGTTAATGCACTTCAAGTATGTGGCTTGTTAACGCGCGCCCAGTTATTAGCATTATTGTGTGATGGACAGTTAGAGGGGGAATGACAATTTACTCTCCTTGTGAAGTACACACAAATATTCTCAAATGCTAGGAAAAGTTTCCTCTGTGTCACATAAGAAGACCCAAATGTTTGTTCTCTGAGGTCCTCCTTCCCTTGAAATTCAATAACGTGGGTTTCACGAGGAGGAGGCTGGCATGCTCGCCATCTGGTGGCCATCTGGGTAATTAGCACCATCTGCCAACAGCGTGTCCTCATTTGCTCTTCGCTCTGCAACAAGATTGATTTCACTTCCGCTGCAACATTTATTGCTGCTTCAGCGGTAATGTGGTGAGATGAGCACAGCATGGCTGTAGAATCTGATGGATGGGGTTGGACTATTACCTCCACAACTTATTAGGGAGAAATCACAAAGAAATTGTCAACCTTACAGGGTTCTGTGAAGTATAAGCAAAGGATCCTGCGGAAGACAGTATCACAAGACCTGTTTGTGGTTCTGTTGGAGCAGCTTGTCCAGCGTACAAAGCTTGCTGTTAAATTTTAGGAATTTTGCAATGCGGTTGTTAAACACAGCCATTATTAAAAAATAAACTATTTCATGTGCACTTCAGTTATATCAGATTGCCGAACTGTCTTCCAAGTGGCTGTGCTATTTTGCGTTCCCACCGGCAATGCATGAGAGTTCCTGTTGCTCCATATCTTCATCAGCATTTGGTAGTGTCCGTCCTCTGGATTTTGGCCATTCTTCAAGGTGTTTAGTGGTATCTCATTATTGCTTTAATATGTACTTCCCTGTTGACGTATGATGTGGAACATCTTCCCATATGCTTATTTGGTGACGTGGCTATTGAGGTCTTTGGCCCCCTTTTTAATCGGACTGTTGGTTTTTTTATTGTTGAGTTTTATGAGCTCTTCGTATATTTTGGACAACAGCCCTTTATCGGATGTGTCTTTTGCATATATTCTCTACAGGTCTGTGACTTGTCTTCTTGTTCTCCTGACATTGTCCTTCCCAGAGCAGAAGTTTGTAATTCTCAGGAAGCCTAGCTCATCAGTGATTTCTTTCATGGATCGTGCCTTTGGTGTTTTGTCTGGAAAGGCATCACCACCCCGAAGGTCGTCAAGGTTTTCTACTCTGTTATCTTTTAGGAGTTTTATAGTTGTGATTTTTAATTTAGGTCTCTGATCCATTTTGATTTAATTTTTGTAAAGGACCTAAGGCCTGTGTTTAGATTAATTTCCTTTTTTTTTAAAAGAAGAGGATGTCCTGTTGCTGTAGCACCATTTTTTGGAAAGACAATCTTTGCTCTGTCGGATTGCCTCTGCTGCCTTTCAGAGATCAGTGGACCATATGTGGATTGATTTCTGGGCTCTCCATTCTGCTCCACTGATGCATTTGTCTGTTCTTTCACCAATACTGCACTGTCCTGATTACGGGGCCTTTATAGTATGTCTGGAAGTAGGATAGTGTCAGCGCTCCAAATTTGTTCTCATACTTTTTTTTCCCCGAGAGATCTGTTTTCAGATATTTACCACTGCTTGTAATCTGGTGTTGGCACTACGACTAATGAGCTGAGTGATTTAATACAAATTGGCCTCTCTGGGCTTCAGTATCCTCATCTGTGACTTAAACGGGGGGAAAAAGATATGTAGGATCCAAGAATGTGTTTCTTGATAGAAGGGACAAGACACAACAGAGTGGCAACAAATGGAGTCTTTGAAATCATTCACATGGGGTTCGAATCCCTCCTCTGTCACTTACTGAGTGACAGTGGGCAAATCATGCAAACGCTCTGGGCTTTGGGTTCCATGTCTGCAGAATGCAGATCAAGAAGCATAGTTCCTTGGAGGTGGTTAGAATTAAATAAAATAATACTTGTTTTTCACTTAGCTGCCATTTGATTTATGTTAAATATATGCCATACCCTTTATCTATGAAATATGATCATGA